CTCAATGATGATATATGAATTGAAAACTGGTTGCAAGGTGAACTATGTGAGATATGTCTCATCACCGTATTGAGCAATGATCTACATCAGATATGATATGTCTGGTATTCAAATACCTCCTTCTCATACTCCTGTTTCTAATAAAAAAATGAGTTTATCGAGCATGACAATGAGGTGACATTAAGGTTTATTTTCTATTCATGCTTCATGTGAATCAGATACATTTAAGAGTTGCAATGTAGGCCTATTACACAACTGAAAGAAATGGTCACTCTTATTCCACCCCCCCCCCCCCCCCATTTCCATGAAATAACCACCATCCCAGTCATTGACTTTTCTTTCTCACTCCATCTGTCATATTATTAATTTCAGACCCATCCCCTTTTCTTATATAAAGGTGAATGATTTTATCCCTCCCCCCCCCATCAAGTATATCCCTCCCCCCCCCCCCCTCATCAAGTTTATCCCAGAGATCAGAGATTTCTTTCCTTTTACTTTGCTACATCTATATGTTCATCCTCATATCATTCTATTAATCCTCCTATCTGTTCATCCACACATTCATCTGTCAATCCCTATACTTTTCAAATGCTCCATCCTTGATCATATCCACCTGTACATTCATCTGCCCATCCATCCATCTCTTCCTACATTCACCCATCTGCCTATCTATCTATCCAGCTCCTCGTTCATTCACCCATCCATCCATCTACCTATCCACCAAACCATCCATCTCTTCGTTCATTCTTCTATCCATCCATCCATCTGCCTATCCACTAATCTATCCATCTCTTCATCCATTCACATATCCATCCATCCATCTGCCTATCTATCTATCTAAATCTTTGTTCATTCACCTATCCACCCATCTGTCTATCTCTATCCACCCATCCATCCATCCTTTATTCCTTCACCCATCTATTCATCAGCCTCTCCTTCTATTAATCTATCTGTATGTTCATCATCCACCCACCACCAATCTCTTTGACCCCTCAGCTAAGTAGTCTACCAGTCTACTGTCTGCCTATATATGGTCGTGGGCCTCCCAGGGATGTCACTCTGTATAATTACTCCCAGTGACTGGGGTAATAAGTCTAGCTTGCATTGCTTGCATCCCAACCTAATGAAAATGAATGTACTATGTAATCAGTCATGGTGGCTGGGACAGGAGTCTAATCAGTAATGTCAGAAACCCATCTAGACGACCGTAGGCTGAAGACAGTTAATCATTATGGAATTTACTTCGATAAAATTGCAATATCAAAGGCGCTGAAATGTTATAAACACATAAGGTCAAATGAATTTCTTCCTAGTTTCACACCTCCTACCAGTTTTTTGTGGTCTACTCTTCTTTCTTTTCCCAATATTTTTGTTTGGACATGGATTGATTTAGAAGAAGTCAAGGCAAAGAATAGTGAAATCCTGAATATATTGCTATTTCACCTTGTCTTGTGCCTGTGTACTGCACAGAAAATTGTGTTAAAAATCAAGACCCCATAAAATGCGTTGGAAAAATATCAGATCAGATAACACAGAAGACCCTCCTTCTCATTTTTGTGAGACAAATGTGGGTGAGAAAAAGATAAATTGTACTGGGCCATATGACAGTGGGATTATATGCAAGGTTATAATATTGTATAAAGTTGCTGGTGAGGAAGTCTAGTAGACATTGTTGGCATGGTATTGGAATGAGAGCTAGGATGATGGGAATGATTGGGTCAGGAGAAGGATGAACCGGTGTCAGATGAAATCAATTCAGTGAGAGAAATCAGGAGGACACCATACCATTACCTGTTCACTCATACAAGCTGAATTCTAAATTATATGCGATATTGATAGTAAGCAAATATTAATCGACTACGAGGGTAATGGAACAAACTATCATCGCCGAGGTGATCTCGGGGCTACTCTCATCCCGAGCCGCAATTAAAAGAACTGATTCTGCATACAGTTTAGCTTCAGCTAGATTTTACAAAGCACAACATGCATACATGTAATACAGTCGATGCGCGCTCATTTGACATTGACATTGACTTAGACATTTCGCGTAACCTACTTTGCTATGCGCTATATGCTTATTTAATTGGGGCAGCAGCAAAAAATTACGGTACAAAAGTCCTATCGCAGGGAGATAGTACTTATCTATCATTGATCATGTGACCTCGTTTAGACCAATCAGATTGCAAGATTCTTAGTATGCGGGATATAATATAAGATAGTAACAAATGCTATCATTGATATCTTTTGGGGAGGAATGGGCTCGGAGATAGAGCAGTGGTCTCATTGTCAGGAGATCTCATGGTTCAAAACCGAGTTGATGCGCTAGTGCCCTGTGATAAGGCATTAATACTGATAAGGCTTCCCTTGATAAACAAGATGTATCATTATTGTTATCATTATCATTATTATTATTATTATTATTATTATTATTATTATGTAATCAAAGCATTTCAGAGCTCTACCTACCAGAAATATCAGCCGCTCTATGAAACACTGTGAGCAACCATCTTGTAAGAAGTGGAGAATTGATCTGTCAACATCAATTATAGGATGTGTATATTTAGCAGGAGGTCTTTCAAACTATCAGGTATCAAACAGATGCATATCATCTAAATAAATATTAATACCAGATCATAAAGGAAAGGTGAGAAGTTTGGGAACAGTCACAAGTGTCTCAAATTTATATCCGTTTTTACCCTTATAAATTCCTTAGTTGATTGTAATATGAGAGACTGAGGAGTGTGGTTGAAAGTAGCCCCTTTCCTCTGCAGCCAGTGATGGATCAAGTAAACTTTCTATTTTAATTTCATGTCAGCTCATTAGTTGTCTGCCTGCACAGTTCTCCTTCTATATACTGTAGGTTAAGTTACGATGGAGATATGCAAACTTGTGCCTGTTTTAATAGTAATGATGTCATATGTCAATGATCTCTTTCATGACCAAGGCCACAAACGAACTCTGGGAGGGTGTAGAAGGGATGGGGGCTCAAATTATTCCTCCAAGCCCCTCTCTAGCCCCCATTTAACACTGTGTAATGTCAATAGGGTGTATAGGGGGAGGGGCGGTTCTAGGGTTTTGCATCCTCCCTCCATCCCTCCCACCACTCTCTCTTTATGATTGCTGTGGTATTTGGAGTGTTGGAGGGGAAGGGGGCTGGATTATCTTCCCAACTCCTCTCGATGATAGCACGTTGGTATGTAGCTGGCCTTTACTTCATGACATGTTTTGCTCACGTCTGTTGTCAAAGTAATTAGTGAGAGCGGGAGAGATTCTTGATGACTAGTTGGATGTAGATTGGCTTTCGCTGACACTGGCACCCCTCATTTACTAGCCCAACTGGCTTCTTTTGGTGCATCCCCTCTCATTAATTATCACTTATTGGCTGACTCTTTTTGTAATGTCAGCTTCTTTTAAATGTTAATAAGTGAGGGGTGATAAATTGCATGTTCCTATTGAGTGATCTATGTTATTACCGGTAACTTTTTTATTTATCTTTTATTGTGAAATTGTGGGTATAGGAGAATGATAAGGGATTCTATAGATAGTGTATCCCTTTTGCAGCAAACATCATATTCCGTAGAACTTGGTAGGAATTATGAATATGTCAGGTATGTCCTATGTGTTAAATTAAAGCGTTAGCAGTGTCCTAGTATACAAATTATGCAAGGAAACCCATTTACTTTCTAGACTTCACTGTCAGACACTATAGAGTGACTGACTGACTTCTTTTTTTCTTTGGTAATAACATACATAAAATGAGCTGTAAAGGGTGAGCGTTTGTACACATCAATAACCCACTTCTTTTATGGTCAAAATTAAAACTGATCGAACCTTTGCGCAGCACAAAACGTACAACCATACGGTACAAGGGTCTGAAAATCAGACTATTTTCTACGCATAATTTTCTAAACGCTTTGCAAAAATTCTAAACGGTTTATATATAATTCCACATGAAGGCAATTACCTGTTCAAATCTTTTCAAGGGAGTTTTTAGTTGGTATTATCTCTTGTTTACAATAGGATTTACACAAGTTTATATTTCAGCCTGCAAAAGGGACACACTACCTTTAAGATTAGTATGTCATCATGTTTCCTGACACACATGAATGTACAGTATTGGTATACACTCTGCAGGGGCAATGTTGTAAGCTAACAGACATACATTTCTTTGATTGGGGTTTAATGAATGTGCGGGATTTGAAGAGAAGCTTGCTAGATTCCTGACATTCATACCATACCTTCATGAATCGTAACGCAACTTGAATCTATCTCAACATACCATTGTGTGTGGGTGTATGTTTTGACTGATCAAGTTTTTACAACTGTTATTCATGTTACTCTAAGGATTGTTTGTTAATACAGACAGTGCAAAGACACTATATTTATTTCAAATAAACCATTGTCTATTCTCTCTTCTCCTACACCATTCAAACTTTTATCAAGGAACAAAATTATGTCCTATGTTGAGTTGAATAATGGATATAATATGATGTACAATAGCATAACGCTTATAGTGCTGCTCATGTTGATGTTCATCATAATGGCAGTAAATATAAGAGTGGAAATGATGTTGATGATAATGCTGATGGCAGTGATGATGTTTATATTGATGATATTGATGTCCTTGTAGTTGTGGATGATGATGATATGATGATGGCATAATAGTGTCTGATTTGAACTTGAAATGTTTTAATGGTTTGTTTATCAGTGATTCATTGTCATTGAATGTTGATGAAAGAGTTCGAGCACTCATGACATACATAACTCATCATCAATTATGCATGTTGATTACAATTAATCATATATTTTTTACACTTGAATTTTTTTTTTACCACAGTAGTATAAATAAAGTAAGGAACCACTAAGCTGCAAGGTTTAGTAATTTCTCTCATAGTGGATTAAACATCAAGTGTGCACATGCATGAGCACCAATCTTTATATCAATACCAGACTGATCTTCATTTAATAGATTAATTTCTTCTATTTTGTTTCCATTTCAGCTGATTTTCACTGGAGAGTACGTGAGAGCCATGGATGAAAACTTCCACAGCGGTCACTTCTGCTGCCAGCAGTGTGACAAAGCTTTGAGTGGACAGAGTTACATCTTAAAAGAAGAGAAACCGTTCTGTGTGGCTTGCTATGATGACAACTTTGCTAATGAATGCGCTGAGTGTAACCAGAAGATAGGACACGATAGCAAGGTAATATCAAATAAAAAGTCATTAAAAAAAAAAGAAATTGTAGAGCCATATAACATTTTCCATCAAAATTATAAATTAAACTAGGACATAATTGTTGTGTGTTTAATTGAACAACCACAAGTGTTAAACTTCATAACTTTTCACCCTTTCATTTTCCTCAAAATTTAAGTCATCTGTTTCTCTCTATCTCGACCTGTCAGCCTTTATTAAAACCACCTATATACCAGAGTTGAAAGTTAGTAGTGGATGATCAATGGAATCGATTTTATTCAACCAAATCTCTGATTATTATGTTGAAACCTTTAAAAATATAAATGCATATATTCTTCATATACCGGTAGTACCTTCTAATTGCACATTTTTTTCAATTTATGAATTTGCTGTTAACAATTGATTGGTGATTTCTTATCTTATGTTTTGATTATAGGATCTTATTTTCAAGTCAAAGCATTACCATGAGACATGCTTTGAAGCCCGCTACACATGTTCTATGTGCAAGGCGTCTCTTGCAGACAAGGCCTTCGGTAACTGGGATGGACAACTCTGCTGCCTCCAATGTTATGAGAAGAACTTGGCCAAGAACTGCCAAGCATGTGGAGAATTAATAAAGCCTGGTAAGTACCGATCTTACATCAATCTTCTTTTTCTTTTACAGATCTCATAGATCATCAAAGGATCTTGGACACACTTTCACAGGACGGTCTCCACAAGATTGAAAGGAGACTAATATATTGGTGCTCTACAAATCTTTTACCAGTCCTTTGCTCATCCTTCACAAATCAATTACCAATTATGTAACGGTCCTTAAAGAAGTCCTCTATCAATCCTTTATTAATCATATTCCCATCCTTGAACAATTTTCTAGCAGTCCCTCAATCTCTAAAAGTCCATTCCTCTACCAATCCTCCATAATTCCTCCACCATTCCTCCACCATTCCTCCACCATTCCTCCACCATTCCTCCACCATTCCTCCACCGGTCGTCTATCATTCCTCCACCATTCGTCTACCATTCCTCCACCATTCCTCCACCATTCCTCCACCAGTCTTCTTCCATTCCTCCACCAGTCGTCTTCCATTCCTCCGCCATTCCTCCACCATTCCTCCACCAGTTGTCTACAATTCCTCCACCATTCTTCCACCAGTCCTCTACTATTCCTCCACCAATCCTCCATCACTCCTCCACCACTCTTCCACCATTCCTCCACCACTCCCACACTCTATCTCTACCAGTCATTTACCAATCACAATCCCAAGTGTCTTCCCCATATCCTTTGCCAATTACTCTTTAACAACCTAATACTTTCCCTACACCCATCCTATTTTGTTCTCAACAATATACTGTCCCAGCGGTAGTCTGATATTCAGAACCTCTATCATCCTTTAATCTTTGAAGACTTCAAAGGTGAAGATAGATCTGAGTGGAGCTTGCAGTTACATTATTTATTTGTTGAGAGTGATTTGTGGCTCTGATATAAGGGGCCACTCATGCTCGGTGTTTCAAGCACACTCATCTTCTGGATGAGTATGTTGGTTTGACAAGGGTTTATAGACCTTTAGGTTTCTCATCCTCTACCAAAGATATATTGACTATCTGGAATCCGATGAACAGTTATCCTCTGCCAGTAAAATATTATACTAATATATACCAGTATCCTGTTATGAGTGATATTATGTATACTTTGTTCTGGTATGTTAAGATAATTGCAGATGCACAGTCTAATTATAAGTCTCTGTAAAAAATCTTTAAATAGTATTTTCTTACGGTGATATGAGAGGGGAAACACGTACTACCACCAGACTACTACTGCCACCAGGTGTTGTCCAGGGCTCAGTCTTAAGAGTTGATATTAATTGCAACTTATTTGCGATTGCAATCACAACTATGTACATAAGAGATAGGAGACTACAAATTTGCGATCGATCAGAGGACTTAATTGTGATTGATCCAAATGAATTGCAACTCCTTATAAGACTGGGCCCAGGTGTCATGGTCTAGTGGATAATCCACCTTGAACGACACAAATCCATACCACATTTGCCACCCTCCACCCAGGTGTAGTAAATGAGAACCTGGTAGGAAGAAACTTCCATGAATGCTTCAGTGTGCTATCATGGTATCCAGACTAATACCAGGGCAATTGCAGGTCCCTGAGGAAGAGCAGTATTAATACTGACAATGTTAGCCTGGCTGGAGAAGGATATCTTAGTAGTGGTACTATTCACTACATTTCCCTAAGGTACCTTATATGTACAGGGGAAAATCTTTTGTAAAATTATAACAATTGAATAGTTTTTCATTATCTTTCATTTCATTGTAAGTCTTGATAGGATGAAAATGATAGGACAATTTTTGTAAAGTCAGTTCCAAGTTCGTGAACTAAATTTGAGCAATGTTAAAACTGAGTGATCTTAATAAATTCCATCTGTATATTGTACTTCTCTTGTTTCAACATTATCCTCTAGTTAAACAACCCTCAAGAGCACATACAGTTCAATCTTCATTTTCATTGGAATTTGGAAGTTCTGTCAGAGATGTTCCAAGTTTAAGCTTTCATGTTTGTTTTTAGTAAGAATCTATCTGTCTTAATGCGATGTAACAATCCCTTCATACATAGAGAATTCTTGGGAGTTATTAAATAAACAAATCAGTTGAAATGTGGATGATGTATTATGATGCAAATGGAAGGTAGAGTGCTCGCATCACAGATGGTATGTTAGTGTGTGTTTAGAGTTCACCAGCATTCTTACGAGATGAGCGAAGGGAGAAAAAAACTTGGTCAGAAATGTGAAGAATTTATAGAATCACACGAAGCCAGACGACTCCTACCGGTCCTTCCCACAGTCCTCGGGATGACATGTGGTCATGTGACTGTTAGGAAGAGTTGTTGAGATCTTAGCAGGGTGTATCCTCCAAACTTAATTGGTTTTAATGTCCTCTCAGGTGATAGCTGAGACCAATAAAATGAAGGTGATGAAGAGAGATAAAGGTATCTTTCATCTTGTCTCCATACTCTAGGAAGAATTAATTAGACAGACAAACATATCCCTATATGTCTGTTGGTGATGAGGTAATGGGATTTATTATAAAGAAAACAAAGCCAACGAGATGAATTGCTGATGGACCAACAGAAAGCTTTTATTGGACCAACATCCACCCACGTCTTCTATGGGTTTCTGTTGGTCCATTAGATATTTTCTTCTATGATGGGTTTCTGTTGGTCCATTAGATATTTTCTATGGGTTCCTGTTGGTCCATTAGAGATCTTTATATGGGTTTCTAATGGTCCCATGTTCTGAATTCCCTATTGAAACCAATAGACCAATGGCTTATATTGGTAAATCAATAATGATAAATCAAAATTCGATTTTAGCAACTGTCCACCAAAAAGGTATATTCTAATCTCAATTGCATTAACTCCATCACAAAGATCACTTGAAGTGAGTTTGAGAATATCCTTTAGTTTAACTGAAGGCTTGTATTATTCTATATAATAAACATACATCTATTGGTCTTATTGGTTTCTATTGGTCCTATTGGTCCTATTGGTTTCTATTGGTCCTATTGGTTTCTATTTCTATTGGTTTCTATGGGTGCTATTGGTTTCTATTGGTTTCTGATGGTTTGAATGGTCTCTATTGGATTCAATTCTATGGGTCCAACAGAAACGGATAGACTCCAACAGAAACCATAAGAGACCAATAGAATTTTTCTAATGGTTTCTATTGGTCTCTATGGGATTTTCGACCTGGGTACCATTTCACAAAATGAAATTGTGTTTTTAGCAATTAACTTTCGTCATTCTGTCCTTGTTTGCACCCCAAAGTAGTACGCACTCCTAGCAAATGTTATTTGTCTGTTTGTCACTGAAATGTCATGAAATGTTCTTTCTAATTGTATTAACCAGGTAACAGCTTTTAAAAAAACTTTCAGTACCACTTCAATTTTTGTCGTTGTTAACAAAAGAGTGATAGCTTTTTGCTTCAGAGCTGTAATATGACATTCTACATTTACATGTTTATACTTCTATAATCAATGAAATATAATGTAGTATTGCAAATAATTCTTAACAGTAGCTCACATAACCGTACTCATACACAATTACAATGTTATTGTAATGCACCCACTGCCATTAATGTAACAGTGATGTTGATGTTATATGTTTGTGTGAACTTGATCATGTGTCATTCTGTCCGTATAGGTTCGGCAGGGGAAGGTAAAACTTTTCTCTCTCATTTTTAATTTTTTTTTTTTTTGAATTGCCCTTTTGCAAAACTCATAGGCAAGTACTAACGACTGTGTGTGTGGTTTATCTTTTTTTCTGTTATTTTGTTTTATTTCATATTTGACTTTACCGATGTATATTATCAATATATCCTACCCAGTGTAGATAGATCTTTTTATAGATAGACCCCCTTTCCAGGAATGAAGATGGTTCCCATAGGATGCTTTTCTGTCTTTAAATGGCATATTTATTCCAATTTACTTCAAAAAGAAATTATTATTTTTTAAAAATCACAAAGTTTGTTCTTCCACAATTGTTCAGTTTTTTTTTTAATTGAAATCTATTGGAGGAGACAGATGATTGTTTGAGGTTTAATATTCACCCAAAATTGTATTTTCCGGAAATTAAAAGAAAAAAATGCAGGCTGCAGCAAACATCTTGAAAGTAAAACAACAAACAATGAACTCAGATTTGGGATGGAAAATACTTTAATCATGCTGTAAGTTTTTGATACAGGAGGAAAACGTTAATTCTCATCTTCTTCCTAGACCATTGCACTTTCCCCAAATTATGT